ACTTTAGAAGGTTATTTTATGTCTAAAAACAATTGCCATATTGTTAAGCCACTTTTTCCTTTTTCCTCATGCTTCCTGTTTTTTGTATAGTATATTTTTATTCTTGCTTCTCTATTCTTCTTTGTAACTTGTGGATTTCCCAAATGTTACAGTGCTGTGCCTGCTTGATACCTTGAATATTTTCCCATTTGTGTGACTTCTTTATGACAATTCATCATTTGATAAAAGTTGAAATATACTTTCTGAAATATATTAAAATATCTGAAGACAGAGATGACTGTAGAATATAAGAATTCATAAGAGGACTAGCTTGTTGACTTTATCTTTGAGAAAAGTACAAAAAACTGTTTTTCAATTTCTTCCATTCCATGTACTAGCAAGAAAAAAACAAAGGAAATAATTTTAATAGGAACAGGAAAAGAAGATAAAGCACAATGTTTTCATGAAGTCACAGCATAACATTTTACCAGTTTCATTACTCTCAGCAACTTTTATTTTACTATGTATCTTCAGTTGATCCATCAGTAAAGTGAGTCAATAATTAATGTGTTTTAAAATATTTCATCAACAAAATTGCAAGAAAACTTCAGGATTGGATTCTTGACAAATTTATTTGTTGATTAAAGGTTTTTCTTTCTTCTATTTCCTTTGGTATTTATCTCTTCCCCCTGAATCATGCTTTTTCCTTCCTATTGTCCTATTTTCTCCCTCGTTTGTGAATGTTTTGCCAATTTTTTTTTCTTACACAGCTCACTCAATTTGTCCTTGTACAATTTCTCATAACTGATTCTTAGCTCATTTCTTTTCTTCATCTGTCACGTTTTATTTTCTTAGTATTCTGTTTTCATATATTTTAGGAAAGGTTTTCAAATGTACTCTTAAAAATTTTATGTAATATTTTCATATAAAAGATAGTAGTTTGTTTGTCTCAGATTCTTAACTCTCTAAAATAAAACACTTCCTTTTGCATCTGTTTTCTCTACCCCCACCACCCATCTGACCAGACTTAAAGGATGTAGCTATTGAGATGTTACTTTCTATAATTTAGGAACACCTCTTAGTTCAAAATGCATAAGAGAATTTAAGAATGATTCAATCATTGGAAATCATCCTCCTACTGTTCTCCTATCACCTCTCTACATCTCTACCCTACCCTTTCTTTCCTAGTGTATCTATTTTGTACAACTTTGTTGCCTTCTCTTTTGGGATTCTGATTCAGTAGGCTTAGGGTGATTGCGGGCCTTCCTATTATGGAAAAGCTCCCTAGGGGAGTCTGATATGCCTTCCTTATTAAGAATGAATGTTTTAATATTGCAATCAAAACACAATAAGCTTTCTTGCCATGATGAATAATCCAATAGATTTAATTATGATTTTCTTTCTGTCTAAAACTAAGTCTAGATGTTAATTGCCAGAGAAATAGATAAGGATGCTTATGACAACAGTATATTAATATGATATCAAAGCTTAGAAATTTCATAGGTAATGAATTATTTACCACTTAAAATATTTAGAAGCTATAGAAATAAAATTAATTTGGTTTTTTGCTGTGTCAATGAACTTAAGATTCTACATTTAATTTTGTAAATCAAATATTATATCTTTTCTTCAGAGACTGACCACAAAACACCACATGCAAATTTTTACTTCTTGTTTTGATCCTTATTTTGCTTTGTTATACTTCATCACTGAATATTCTTCCTGAATAGACCACACTCTGTAAACAATTTTTTCCTTGTTATACAATTTTCTGACACAAATGAAAAATGCTATTTAGTGAACTCTTCTTTGACAAAATTTTTAAAAAAATTCAAAGACCTACAACTTGAGAGTCCATATAAATGAGATTTATAGCTAACAATTTTAAGCGATCACTTCCCTCTTAGTTATTTAAGCCTGTCTCCTAACTGTTAAACAGAATTCATAAAGCCCTTACTGGTTCTACAATTGGATATTAAAAGGTACCATAGCCATCAGCCCTAAAGTAAAAGGGCTAAGATCAAAAATATGAAGCAAAGAGACTGAGGTAAAAATTCAGAAACAGATGTAGTTTATTACACTGTAACCAGCAATAAGATTTCCTGCATTATTTAGGGAAGATTCAAAGACTGTTACTCTACCACTTCACTACTCAAAGTGTTATGACTAGACCCTGGGCAGAATTGTCCCAATGAAACTTGTTAGGAATACAAACTTGGAGCTCCTTTTTGACCTACTGAATCAGTCTAACAAGATCTCCAGGACATTTTTGTGCACATTAAATTTTGAAGAGCATCTTTTTAATATGTTCCTCAATACATTTTAAATCAGTATGTTAATAGATATAAGCATTGGACATTACTGGTGGTACAATGATGATCTCTGATCTTTTCCTTCTAACTGCCTCCATGATGTCTTTGTTTTAGGTGCATTTTTTTCCATTGCAGAAGTCACTCATTCTTGTATGGTACAGCTTTTCCCTAAGCTTTATGGATACTTTCTGATTTGTTCATACTACCACTAGCTTTGCCTTTCTGGTCCATTGTTAAAGTTCTAGTTTTAGTCCCTTTCCCCATCTCCCAGACTCCTATCCAAGCCTGTTTTATCTGTTATCCTCTCTCACCATTAGTCTGTCCTCTGCCTCAGTATGTATTCAAAACCACCACTCTAGTCCTGATATGACCATATTTTAAAACTAAGATGTTTTCTATTGACGTCCAATGAATTTCAAACTCCTTAATTAAAAAATAAGCCCTTTCTGACCAGACCACAATTTGTATCTAAACCTGTACTTCTTCCTAATCACATGCTCTCATTCAATAGTATGGTACCCAATTTGATATTCCTGATCAGATCGTGGAGGTTGCATACCACAGGCCTTTACTTCTGCCATCCTGCTGTCTCCCTAAAGCTTTGAGTTCCTGGGATTTACACCTTATTTAAATTCTAAGCTCCCCTAGAGTACTCTTCTGTTTGTCCTTCTACTAAGATCATCCCTCTTCAGATCTACTCATCACTGAGTCCCTTGAATTCTTCATCTTACTACATATATTCTAACAAATTACCTTTCACACCAATCTAATTTCAATCAATATATATTCTGCCAGAAAGCTAGAATTCTGTGCTTAGTTTCCTAGACAGGAAGCCTAATGATAAGTGTTAGTAATGTTGATGATAAGACATACCAATCTCCCTTCCTTCTTCTCTCTATCCCTTCATCCCTTCTTTCTTTCATTCCTTATTTTATCTTGTTTCCTAGGTCCTTTACTCACAATTTTGTGCATTCACTGAGCAGATACTTATTGAAGCTTCTTAGAACCAGATACAGTATTGTATTAAACAACAAGACGCAATTGTGAGCTGACCTCAAGGAATCTATGGTTTAATGGAACTATAGATAGTGTGTTATGACTGATATCTCTGTTCCTAAGCCGTGACTCTCACATATAACATTTATCTTAGCAGGTGGGAATGAGTGAGATATAAACAATAAAGTCAGCAAGCTGAAAGAAAGTATATGTTTACTAAAACAAAACTCATGGACATTCAAGAGGTTATGGTCAAGACAGTTTGTGAATCATTCAATAATTCTTAATCTATTACTAATGTAAGAGTTGTTGTGAGGCACTATGTTCCAGAAATAATGTCATTGTTACTATTTTTGTTGATCTATGTAGCTTTTGCCTGTGTTTTTGTTTTGCAAGGTTAAGGCCAGAACCAAGGGCCTTGCTCATGTTAAGCAAGTCCTCTGCCACTGAGCTATATCTCCACCTCCTCTTATGGAGTTTTTTCATTAATAACAATATGCTGACAAAATTTATAGCTTTAAAATAATGTCACATGAATACATTAAACCTATCAAGAAGTTTTTGTGAAATGAGAGTGTAAGAGAGAATTGATTCCAGCTCAAAAAGCATGCATTCATTGATGTATTGGGTAAACATATTCTGGAATGTAGTTTCGACTTTTTGTTAGGTAAGGAGTCAGGGAATGTAAGAATACTTCACAATTTGAATTTCATACATTAGAAAGACTGTGTCACACACTGACATTATTTTGTTAGTACCATAAGGATTTGGTAGCCATTTCGATTTAAATACAAAGTTGTCTCAAGTTGTCATGTGTTATTTCAGTTTCTAAATTTTAGATTTAGTAATGTTATTTTAATCACATTAAAGCACTATGTTATCTTTTTTAAAGTAAATAAATATTGACATTTTTATTTAAACATAAAGCATTTTCATTTATTTATCTACACTTGGTGGAAATAGCCTCTTTTTTAATGAATACTTTTCTGACACTTTATTCTTAAAATTTCATACAGGATAAAACATAAAAGATATTTAAGCTGGACATCAACGACTCATAAAAATGTTCTTGTGGCTATAGATTATTTTATACTTTATTACTGTGCCTTAGAGGTTTCTTGATGGGCTGCCCATGAAAGCAGTTAATTCTCAGTTTTGTGTGTTTTATAATGCAAACTACATTGACACAAACAGAATTTGAAATAAATAACATTTATATAGTATTTAACTTTATTTAATAACCTCGAATATGTTTAAATACTATTTTAAAACTATATGTTCTTTTTCATCTCTCATATCAACAACCCCTGAGAAACCCAAATACAGTACTTTGTTCAGGTTTAGATATTATAACACTTCATAGGCTATTAAACATGGAACATCCTTGTGGGGACAAGAAATCGAATTTTCTCTTGAGAAGGTTTCCAACTAATTGATTTGTAGGATATTATAATATCCTATAGCTGACAAGCTTACAAAAATGAAAATTGGAGCTGAAATGAGAGGACATTTTTTGCTGACATATCAAAGGTGTCTTTCTGTCTTACATCCTTTGGATATGGCCATGTCAATTTCATAGAGCAACTTTCACGTGGAGCTTTCATATTTCTTTCTCTCCCGGTACAAGTGCATGTGGTAGCTCATTGTTTAATCTTTTCTCGAAGAAAAAAGACACCAGCTTCACTTTTGTTTCATGTTTTTGGTATTTTACAGGAACTCCAGGATGGCATTGGGCAGCGACAAACTGTTGTCAGAATACTGAATGCAACTGGAGAAGAAATAATTCAACAGTCCTCAAAAACAGATGCTAATATTCTACAGGAAAAATTGAGAAGCTTGAATCTGCGGTGGCAGGAGATCTGCAAACAGCTGACAGAAAGGAAAAAAAGGTAAGACGACGTGTCACACAGGAATACTAAAATTTTAACAGAGCTACTTAAGCTGTTTTTAAACAACAGATTTCATAAGAGAGTATAAGCTGAGTGAATGCCAGAATCATTAAGAAGCCCATCAAGTTCATCAAGAACACTGAAGGAATATATTTTTTCCTCTGATATCAAAAGATATATGTGTCACTACTTAGTGCTTTTCAGTTATTTCTGACTTTAGAGTTTATTTTAATAATCACACATGCCTTACTAATTGTGAATAGCTTCAGTATACTCCGACTTTAACAAGCTACATTTCAATTATTTTGTAAAAGATGGAGAAAGACTTATGAATGCCTGTTTAATAGGAAAGACAGCTCTGGCTAGATTTTTCAGCAGTTATGAATAGGACTTTTATGCTAAAAACGTGATAGTAATATTTACTTCCCTACATTTGTTAGTATCCTCTTAAAGTGGTTGTTAGGCCAAAAATTCTGAAATCTAAAGTGGAAAAAAACCCAAAATGTTATTGTTGAATTCAATCATCATTTAACTTACTTAACTTGGAATGTAGTGAAAGCCAAGTGCAATCTGGTGCAGTGGAAAAGCATAGATTTTTTATAAATGGAATTGTGCTTCCAATTGATGCTAATATTTTTTGTTCCATAAGTGAGAATTTGGTCTTTATTTACCAAATGAGACTATTGTGGACAGTGAAAATCAGTTCTATTGCCAAACAATTGCATCTTAGTTTTCATCTACATAATATTTTCATATTCAGGGCTGGAATACCTCAGTAATGCATGTCTTTGGTTAGGATATAATAGAAAGAAGGGTTTAGAACTGCATTCATTATCTTTTCTCACCTCCTTTTCTATTTTTTCTCATATTCCTTAATTCAGAAAGTAACTCGTGTTTTTGTACAAAACAGACATAATAATTGATGTCCGTATACACATAAAAATCTTAGTAACAGTTAAGATTAGCAACATCCTCAAATACATGTTTATTATAACTTGGTTTAGAAGCCATTCTTGATTATTTAGAGATAAAAATAAAGACCCAAAATTTGAAGTTAAATGAGTTCTTGAATGCTCCAACACATTCTTTCACATTTTAATCCTTCTACTATTCACACAAGTATTCCATTATTTAAATAACTAAAATGTTGATACTCTAAATAGGTATAAACTTGTATATCATTTCTAAAGCAAGCTCAATCTAGTTTAAAGTTAGATGGTAGAAAATGAAAGCATTAAGACAAATTGAATAAAATTGCATAAAATGTATCTTGAATATATAGTCAATTAAATGGATTGAAAGATTTATTCCTTAATATGCATAAAACATTCTTTCTAAAACTGAATTATTTTACTACTCAGTATTTGAATAAAGTATATTACTGTCCTCTCCAATAACACTTGGTTACTTAAATTTTAAAAATGTTGTATATCATTGATTTCTAAACATAAATTATGATTGTAAATAAATATGGGCAAATATGCTTATCTTATAAAGTCAGCTCTAAAATTTTAGATCCTTCTAATTTAATAGAAAGCAGTATATTCTGACTCTGTTATGAAATACTATCCAAATTGTAGGTTAATTACATCTAGGGATTTGGCTATAATTGAATCGAAAATAATTCTTTGATTTAATATTTTGTCCTACATTACATACTGCATTTTTGTGTTTTAAAAGGTTAAGATCAGCTTCCTTGAAGATGTTTGTTGTTTTTGAACTCGGCTTTTTAAATTGTCTACTTCATGCTACATTTTAAAAATAAATGCTAGCGTATTTAAATTCCAACTGAAATCAGCCTTAGATCGTTAAAGTTTTGTGAAATTTAAAACTATCATAAAATATAAGGGTTGCCAGTTGTCTCTATATACTCACAGCTCTTTTCAAGTTTCTAGTAGTAAATCAAGTTCAAATAAATAACAATATTTCATAAAGAATGTGCTAACCTAGCAATTGTGAAAAAGCTATAATCATTAAACTGTTGTTAATCAGTATCACCACAAGTTGAAGTTGAAAGGAAGTAGAAGTTATTTATTTCACAGATGAAAAGTAAGACATCTTTTCTACTTGACCATGGTGTTCCTCACTTGTAAAGTAAGGAAGCTGTTAGGAACACTAAACATTTCTTAGTCCTGGGCACTCATGAAACAAAGTGTGCAATTTAAGTAAAAAACTGTAAAAACTATTTGGGACTATATATCTACATAATTTTAACCTTTCTTTTTGAAAATTCAATGTATCAGTATGGTAATAAGAAAATACTCAAAAATATTCAGATAGCAGTGGACATCTATTAACACTAGACTGTGTTGGAAACGAAGTATAAAATGGTCAATTTGCTGTACAAATTAAGATAGAAAATTTACCTTTGCTTCATTTATGTACTGCAGGAATTGGATAGCATCTATAGTTTTAATCCTGATACTAATGACTTTCATGGTGTCTTAATCACCAAGATGATCTTTCTAAACAGGATGCAAATTAAAAACCATCACCTATAAAAGGCAGTCATAGGTTTAAAAAAAGCAGGACTGTTATGCAAAGAAATTTTAGCCTGGGTCCATGAGTAGGATTTAAGGGGTACCATGATCTTTGTGTGGAAAAATTTACCTCTTTTTGTTCATTAGCCTCAAACTGAAATTAAACATTTCTTTCCATTTTGAATTATTAAAAGATACATTATTATTAACAGTGTCTGTGAAATCAAATATATCAATATCTCAGAGTTCTAACAGATAATTCAAAATATGATTATGCTTATTTTATGTTTGGTTCTTATTAGCTTAGTTGTACAAATCTGTAGAGTATAATGTGATGATATGAAATCTATACTTATACTGTATAATGATTAAAGAAGTATAACATCTCTATTTTAAATTTTTAAATTTTTGATGAGTACATTAATGTATATATGCAGGATATTGATGTTTCAAAATATGTATATAATATGTGCAAATCAAATCAAGTTACTTAATATTTCCACTATCAATACTTTGGTTTTGGAACTTTTGAGTTAGCCTCTTTTAGTTACTCACACAGAATATAATGAGATATTTTGGACTATGATCACTCTTCTGTGCTGAAGAATATTAGAGATTATTATTTCTATTTAACCCTTAAGTAATTCAAACATTCAGTAGACATTAGATATGACCCCAAGATCCTATTACTTAATGTGTTAATAAACAAGTACATGTAATTCTGTATCATAATTTTGTTTTTGTAATTCTCTTAGTATTTCAATATGGTTGGTTTCCCTTGGAGAATTGTAAATTGTGAGTTTAAAAACATTATTTTGAAGAGTCCTTAGCTTTACTGAATTATTAGGAATCCATTATATTAAAATGATGTTAACTGTTTCTAGACAACTTTGTGTGTATCTGCCCAGGTTCTTATCCAAATTCGTCATAATTTTAGTCATTTAAATGTTCAGTTATATTTTTATAAACTCATTTTTTGCTGGAGTTCCAGGAGAGGATGTGCCAGGCAAAAGACTATAGGGGTCCAGACCCTCAAGTACTGACAACATAATGAAAAGTTTTTTAGTTAAGGTGAAGTCAGTTGATAAAAGATCGAATATGAAAAGGAAGCAAAGCAATGGGGAATGGAATCACAAAATTGAAAAATCTCTGCATCATAGCCCTTGTCAACCAAAAGTTGTTTCAAGAAATTATGTTTCCTTTCCATGCTTGGCAAATGCAATATCGACTCAATTAGCCTATTTCACAATAAAGCTATTTATATTGAGAATATAAATTCTAGTAACACATATTGAGAAGCAGCACTCAATGGTGTCCAACTGTAATTGCTACAAGTGGGGAGGCTGAAGCAGGAGGATCAAAAGTTTGAGGCAAGCCAGAACAACACAGCCAGACCCATACAGATAGACAGGGAGATAGCTAGCTAGATAGCTAGATAAGCTGGCTAGAGATATAACTCAGTCCTAGAGCACTTGTCTAGTGTTATGCACTAGACAAGTTCTATTTCAAATAGAGCAAAAAAGAAAACAAAAAAATATGTTGAGGAAAACATTTTTAATCTAAATGTTAATTAAAAATATTCCTTGAATTTATTGTTTACCATGCTTTTTAATTGAATATTTGAAAGTATTTAGATCAGTAGAAAAAAATTAGTAAAAGCAGTACCCATATACCCGTCTCTGTTCCAACTTCTTAGGCCAACTTATTACCATTTTTCCACACATGTTTTCCTCTCTCTGCCCTACCTCACACACTTTCTAACATAGAGTATACATACACACATGCATATACTCAAGCATATTTTTGTTTTTATATTTACAATTAATTTATAAACATCATTTTACTTCATCCCTAAATTTTTCAGCACACATCACTTTGGCTTAACATATATAACTAATGTTCGGTTATCATGCATAAGCAAGTTGAAAGTAATATCATATCATTATTTAATACCATGACCATGTTCACATTTTCCTAAATGTAAAACATCTTCATATTTGGGGAGGGAGTTCTACCAACATCACATATTGGTTCATGTATTGTATTTTGTGATTTCATTTATTGTTTTTTAGTGTAACACAGCCCTTTCAGTTCCGTTACTTTGTAATGATATAGACATTTGAAAATTTCCAACTCAGTAGGTTCAGATAATACCCCAACTTTAAAAATGCATTTTTCTGATTTGTTTTTCCCCCTCATGGTGTCATTTCACTTGTTCTGTCCTCTGGTTTTCTGGTAAGTTGGGTCTAGACTTGAAAAGGTACAATTCAGATATTGTAGCCAAAATTCTTCACATGTGATAACTATGTATATCATATGACATCTTGCAGAGTGGCATTATATGAGATCCCATTTTGCTGAGGTGCTATTTAATTGCTCACTTAAGGTGGTGACCATCAGATCTTGCATTGTCAAGTCTTGATTTTTCTTTGAAATTGAGAAATCCTCTAATGGCATTAAATATCCACTTAAGATCTTTCCTTAAGTCATTCACTATTACCACAAGGATTGCAAGAATAA